AACTGAAATTTAAGTCTTTGAAGGAGAAATAGCTCTATGAAATGTTCCTTAGAACCAAAGTTTAATCTGTGTCCTCTACCTCAATCCCCACAGGTGGGTGGCTATTTCACACATTTACCATCTGATATGATGTATTATTTAGCCAACAGAGCTCCTCAGTATATGCACCAAAACTAAATATTGGTAATCCACTTGCATTATTTATGTCCTATAAATGTTCAGAAAATAATTTATAATCTCTAGCATCCTTCCCCAAATTATGAACCAGTATTTTTAAGAGGACTATAGGAGTTCAGCTGTAAGTGTTCCAAGGGAAGGCCTATGTCAAATTGAATTCTCAGCACCCAGCCCAATCCTGCTTGCCCAGGGAATGCCCATAAATCTCCACTAAATACATTTAAAAAGGGACAGTACAGTAGACATCAAAAGTATTCACCTGAAAAATATGGATAAAGCAAAGACTGGACACTTCAGACTGCTAAACTTACTACTCAGATAGACGATCAAATGGATGAGGGTAAATATTTAGAAATGAAGATCCAGGAGTCAGCTAAGGTCTCCTTAAACCTGGCTCCATTCTCTTTTGACCCTGTCTTTGTGGGCAGAAAATGACTTAAACAACAGAGTAAATCTTGACTTCCACAATAACTTTGATGCTGGTCTTTTATACACCTTAGAAAAAAACTGAGGAAATTGTAGGCATGATGACAGAGCTATTAGAAGGCTTCACAATGATTGGAGAAATTCATACAGGAAGACTGGGGCTGCTGGATTGAAGTTACATAAAGCGATCATTCGGTAGTGTACTAAGAGTTCTTTTTTAGTCAACATATTTCTTCCCTGAGTTGGAAGAACATGAAAGACACATCTACAGGTAACATAAGGCTGGAAAGGACAAGTATCATATGGAATGTAACTCAGAAGGCCCTGCTGGGCTAGGGTGGCATAGGAAAACAGCATGATGCACTTGAATAGGGACAGATGGAGTTTATGTAATCAAGTATGCAAATAAAGCATAATTAGGGATAAAGGCATATAAAGAAGAAATGACTTTAGGATGGGGGTGTAGTCTTGTCTGGCAGCAGCTTACCACTGGTGCAATACAAAAGCTACTTTAAAAGCTCATGCCACAGTGGACCATGTTATAGGTGCTAACTAAACAAGGCCTATTGCTGGCTCTCAAGATGTGGGCAGGACATTACAAGAGCTGAGCATGGTGGCACACACCTATAATCCCAGCAGCTCAGGAGGTTCAGACAGGGGAATTGCAAGTTCAAAGACAGCTTCAGCAATTTAGCAAATCCCTAAGCAACTTGGTGAGACCCTGTCTCTAAGTAAAAAATGAAAAGGGCTGGGGATGTGGCTCAGTGGCAAAGTGGTGAAGGCATTCATCCGCTGTCTGACAGGGTCACAATGTGGGGGATGCTGCGCCAGGGCCACACCATCTGGAAACTGGAACCATGGGGAATGTTAAGTGTTTTGTTTATGATACTCATGATAATAGGATAATAGGGCATACATCAATCAATAATGAAAGTATGTGTTGCCTGAGATTGCAGGAAAATTCCCAGAATGAGATTAAGGATACAATTAAGACATGCCCCAAGGTGTGTTTCAGTGTCTCTCAGGATACAAAAAAAATAGTGTTATTCCTCAAGAAATTCATGGGAAAAAGATCGCAAATCGAGGTTCCTGAGAAAAGCTTAACAATTTCTACTAAGCCCCCCCCCCCCGTTCTAAAGCCACAACCTGTGCAACATACATTCCCCCCACTAACAGACCCTCCTTTGCCTTACACAGGAATTCATGATGAGAATTGGAAACACATAGTTAATATAAATGACAAATGGATTGAGGTGCAAAGCCTGCCCTTTAGTTAAAGATTACAAAGATATAAGAATTGGTGTGGACCAAGGATCAAGGAAACTCTTTAAGAAAACAGTTAAATAGGTCATATAAAAAAAGGAAATTATCTTGGAAATTAAAGGCAGAATAATTTAAAATGAATATAGTTATATTTTAGAGGCACTTCAGAGTAGTAGGCTTTTAAGTAATAGACTTTCACTATTTAAAGTGTGTCTTACTGGGACTTTAGTTTAGAGGTAAGAAAACTTACCAATAATCATAGGTATGCTTTAAAGTTAAAGGTTGATGAAATAATTATAGGTAGGTTTTAAAGTTAAAAGTTAATAATAGGTCCGGAGACATGCAGTCTAGTTGCGTAGTCTAACACCTAGTGATTGAGGTGAAAATTGTAAAAGCTTAATCATGATTGGCTAAGGTTATAGGAAAATATTTTAAACAATGTACTCAGTATCTTAGGTAATTAATATATGCCAGAAAAGACCATAACTCTTAAAAATCATATAAATCAAATGAGCTTTGGGCTTTGAAGCTATCCATTATCTACCTGAAAAAACACACCTGTAAAAAAGGTATAAAAATAAAGGTCCCTCTAGGGGCAGCAGAGTTTTTCTGGAGGCTGCTGGTAACTTGCAACCTATCATCCCATCTCTTCTTCTTTTGCTGATGCCACTCCTCCTTCAGGACCTCTGGATCCCTGCCAGGGCTGGACCCCTGCAGTAAAGTGTCCCTGGGTTCAATCCCTAGTACAAATATATACAAGTACAAACATCACAAGAGGAATTCTGGGGAAGAATTCTATTGGACCCATTGAGGAGATTAAGGATGTTTCTGTAGAAGAAAAGGCCTAAAAATGTTGTATTAGAGTTTCACACGATGAAGAGTTTTCCACTGGAAGTGGTAGGGTATATTTTACTGTTTTCCAGAGGTACCTTTTTTTGAGGAGAAAAAGGATTCATAGATCTTAAGGATCTATTAAAGACATAAGCCATCCACCCAGGAGACAGACAGACAGACAGACACACACACACACACACACACACTTCACATATTGTTTTAGATTGTTCTAAACCAGATTAAGAATTTTTAGCTCAGAAGTTAAAAGGACCCAGGTTTCATTTAATAGAAGAAAGAATTTTCCCCTGGACCTCTGAAGCAATACTCTTGATCAGGGAAACTAACAAAAAAATTCTTATGTGCAGAGGGAGTGGGGGCATCTGGAGCTGGTAATCTGAAAGGCTCTTTCCAATTCTAGGATTCCCTAGTCGAAAATGAATTTCTAAATAATTTCACAATATTAAAATAAACATGTAAAATAATACTTGTTATTGCCATTATTGTGAAAAATTTATATACCAACAATGCCCGTTACACTCTATTAATCAAAGTAGGATCAAAATAAAGACCATCCAGGTATCAATATAACATACTAGATGTATCTGAAAATGGTTTTATTCATTATAACTATAGTAGCAATGGATACCTAAGTTATTTCTTGCAGTAAAAGATCTTTCTTTCCAAGTTGCTTTTGAAAAATTCTGATTCACAAAAAGGCATGGCAGCAGAGGTACACACACAGCATTTGCAACAGAAGCTCTTACTTTATATTTGGTTATACACTCTTTTCTAAGCAGCTAGTATAGGTCATCACTATAGACCATACCTATGAGTAATCTTACTGGCTGCAGGACAGAATTTGTTTGTTTTTTGAGGATCTATGTTCTAAGTGACACACTGCTGTCTACACTTAAGAGCTTTTACACATTAACCAGAAGGAAAGTGTGTTTCAATTTCAGGTCTACTCTCATAGGGAAGGAAACAAATCAAAGTAGTTGATAGCAATGCATATGTCTTTAAAACTCAGGTTCTCAGAAATCCTAAGTAGGTAAAGTTTCCTGCTATTTTTCTGAGAAAGTATTCCCTGGATTTTACTTGAATTTCTTCTATTTAAATTCTTACCACTAGTTCTGCCAGTAATCTTGAAAGAGCTCCAACCCTGAAATAATTACAGTCACATTATACTCAAAATTATTTCAGTGTTTCTTACCTACAATCATATTAAACTATAATGAGGTTTTATAAGTGTCTGTTGCCCACACACAGTGCTGCTGCTTGGAAATGATTTTCATAATAAGTAAATGTCCAAAAGAGCCATGAGCCTCAAGGAGAGGCCATGCATATGTACATGTATTGTGTGGAGGGAGAGCAGGTGTGAGTATGCTAATGATTCATAAATGGAATCTTAGTGATAGATGTTATTTACTTAAAGGCCCCAACTTTATTGTTTTTCTACTGGGACAGAGAGTTAAGGTATTATTGCATCCCTTTGTTATTCCGCATTTTCCAATTCCCCCTGCTTTGAAAGTCCCATTCAAATCTTTCAAAATGGAAGAACAAATTTACCATCAATGACAGACTCCAAGTGATATGGAGAGTTCATTATTTTTCAAGATCAAGTAAGAACCTTCCAGGAAAAGATTAATGACAATGGACCCATTTTTAATGGAAAGGATTGTCAAATTCCATTGAAATCTGTCATATCTTTTTCTTAGCTCTCAACAAAAGAAAAGCCATCTAGACATTAAGGAGCCACAGAGAATCTCAGAGGTTAATTTTGAGTTATACTTTCTATCTCCTTTGGCTGTAAATATAGCTGATGAGAATTATTTAAGGTTAGTGGTTTCCAAACTTTAGGGTGTGGCAGAACATTGAGAAGACTTATCAAACACAGCCCTGTCACTCAGCGGGTCTGAGGTGGGGCCTGCAAGTTACCAGGTAGGCCTCTGCTGCTGATCCAAGGAAGGAGACCCTGAAACACACCTGTTGCAGCATCATGTTCCTTTTTTAATTCAAACCTTCACAATGGGGGTTCTTGAGCCAAAGTCTAGATGAGAACCTAAAATGCTTTCTGTGGCTTCAGAATCCCCATGAACCCATCTTTCTTGAACTATACTGTGGAAAATATTAGTAAAGAATGAAACTCTCTTCTGCAAGAAGAAATCAAGCTGTTTCCTGAGTCCATCCCCACCATCTTTAAACCTTTTACTAAGTCTTTAGAGTAAAATTCAAAAGGAAAATGTTCTCTAAAGCTTATTTGGAAGGGGTGGCTCAATTGGAAAGAAGATTGGCATACTCACCAGAGAGGAAATATACCCAGTCGTGTGGTGATAAAAACCATGGCAAACATCACAAACAGGAGGTCACACATTTTCTGAAACTTGGCATAATTTGCCATTTTGGCAGCCTATAAAAGGAAGGAATGTAACATATTAATTTAGTTAAGCTGATAAATAAAATTTCTTTTACTATGCATGAGTTCTCTATAAGATAGAGTTTACCAGATGCACAAAATTGCCTGCTACTTTAAAATGTCATGCATCATACATCAGTATTTATAAATTACTCATAAATCGAATGAAATGCAGCATTAGCCATAAGTAGAACTACCGACTGTCACAGATTTAATAAAATATTCAGCAACCTGAAAAATTCAATTATATGGTTGATTTCAGGAAAACAGACAGGAAAAATAAGAAACTTTTGTATTATAGATGATATTAGCAAGCCAGAGAACCAAAACAGAAATTTGGCATAATAGATCAAAATAGAAAGTGCTAGATAAACCTTTACTGAGTCCCAAATACTGAGATCACAAACTTAATACAGAATATATGGAACTTTGCTGCATTATTCTCTCTTTCTCTTTAGAATTATGGGTTTTCTTTAAATTGGCAGAGGAACTTCTCTAGGGAGACAATATCCTTGTTTATTTTCACTAACTTAAAAATGAAGAAAGGGTCAAGGTCATGGTATTTCAACTAATCCATTTAGATCGAATTTGCAAAGTTACTTTCCTGGGTCACTTTCTAGATGAAAGTCAAGAATGTTCAAAGCATCTATGAGAAGTATTCAAATAATTTGGGGTAGTGATTTAAGTGACCACATTTTTAATAAATATTTTGTTTTAGTTGTAGTTGGACACAATACCTTTATTTTTATGTGATGCTGAGGATTAAACCCAGTGCCCTGAATATGCGAGGCGAGCACTCTACCACTGAGCCACAACCCCAGCCCCCACATTTTTATATTATAAACTTATCTGATGAATCACATCCTATTATCTTACTTTTTTGTCACATCCATATCCCCTTTTCACTTTTCTTTTTTTTTTTTTTTTTTTTTTTTGAGACAGGATCTTGCTAAGTTACTGAAGTCCTCACTAAGTTGCTAAGGCTGGTCTCAAACTTGTGATCCTCCTGCCTTAGCCTTTTGAGTGGTATTGTGTCCAGGCATGCACCACCACTCCCAGTTCACCATTAATTTTTTAAGATGATTCTAAATAAGAAAGATGAGGCTGAAAACTTTCTGTTTGATAATTTATTTTTACATTTTTATATAGATTTTACATCAACTACACAGTTATAAAATGAAGATGTCTTCGGCATTCAATAACCTTATTTTCTACTTCTTAAAAATTAAATTGGCTAAGTCACACTTGAAAAGATTGTTGGCAGTATCTTCAGAATTTATAATTTAATAGTTTTAAGTAAAGTACAAAACTATAAAATAAATATATTCTGAAGAGGAAGTGAGTGGCAGCCAGGATTATAAGCTTTTAATTTCATGCATACTTTGGGTATAGCACCACAATGGTGTTAAAATAAAAAGTATCATCTGCCTGTTTCTGGATAGGTAAATCATCTAATTTTCCCTTTATATTTATCTACCCATATTTTATAAATAAGCAATAACATCAACTTTTCAGAAATGTCTAGGCCATAAATCCCATTTTGAAGATCTCATTAATTGGGTCTCCTCAAACATGATTTATAATATCAAAAAGGACGCAGGTGATGAAACACATTTTCTTTCAAGCCACATGATTGGGATTCCTGGATTCATTTTCTTTGTTGGATAAAAGGGTAGATGAAAGGGTTTGAGGTTGTAGCTCAGTGGTAGAGCGCTTGCCCAGCACGTGTGAGGCACTGGGTTTGATCCTCATCACCACATTAAAATAAATAAATAAAAATAAAGGTATTGTGTCCAACTACAACTAAAAAATATTTTTATAAAAAGGGTAGGAGACAATTCAACTAAGATTTTCTCAGTCACAACTCTACTAAGCTGGTGATTTTCAGAGGAGTTGAAGTTGGCTGATTATATAGAATTGATTTCAAAAACTGTAGGCTACTGAATAAATTGTGATTTCTAAACATACATATGATTTAACCAAATGATAATTGATGTTCAGGGGATTACCCTCAAGCTAAATATATTTCTCTTTTTGAAAAATATGTCGAATAGAGTTTAGCTTGAATTACTTAAAATCATAGCACCAGGTTTTCATCTGACTTATCCATTATAGGACTATTTTTCAAACTGTTAAAGGCACCAGAGTTTTTAATAAAATGCCATATATACATGACCTTAACTAATGCCTTTACAGTAGATTCAATTTTATAGAACTTATGCTTATATTGCAAAAATTGATCACTATCTGAAGATACTTCTCTGTTCACAGTAATAACAAATGCTTAAAAGTTGGCAAAACTGTGGAGTCAACAGGAATAACAAAATCAGAATACAGATTATAAGATCCATTTCTACATAGAATTTGTACTCTTGCAAGTTATTTTTGACCAATTATATAAAATTGCTTAGTATAAAGTGAAGACCTTTATTTAATTATATACATATAATTAAATATATAAATATATATTAAATATATATTTATATATATAATATATATAATATAATATATAATATATATAATTAAATATATATATATATATATATATGCAGTGTGATTCTTAAAAGTAGTAAATTATTTATACAGTTTCTATATATATTTGCAATTCATATATGCTTTTCATTCTAAAAACACAAAGATAATATGTACAGTGACAATAAAAACTAATCTACTTAATTTTATTGAGAAGTAAAGTTCCCATTAATAACTACACTTAATTATATAAAAATTTAAAATAAACCAGTATGAAACTTACAGTACAATTAAAACCTATTAAAATAATGACTTCCCTATTATAAAATCAGTCTAAATGTGGAATAGTAAGTTTTCATCAGCATATTAATAAGGAATCATTATAATTAGTATAAACGTTTATATACTAATTTCAAGTCTCATTTTCAGCAGTTTAACCTACAAAACCCCTGTAGTTTGAAAGCACCATCTAGTACGACACAGGAGACCTGATGATCTGGGAAAGTTCAGGAGTCCTGGATTTTGAATTCTTAAGAATGAAGGAAAATTTTTACCTCTAGAAGAGCATCAGCTGAGTCGTGAAGACAAAGGACCAGGGTCCCTACTCGGGCCATATTGTTGACGTAAGAAAAGGTAATCAGTAAAACAGATACGAAGTGGTGCAGGAACATGATGCCAAAGTCCTTGAGGAAAGAGAAAGCACAGCCATGTTAGGGTTTCTCAACATTTCAGCTTTTCCATTACAGCTTTTCAGCCACTAAAACAATACTTACTGAGAACCTTTACAGGCCTGGCTCTGGGGATACTAAAATGAACCAGATAAAACACACCAGCCCTCTGGGAGCCCAGTGGGAGAGAAATATAGACCAGCAACTATGGGGAATGTGATCAACTCCAGGATAAAAGTCAGATAATGAAGCATGTTTTGTACTAACTGGAAGAATGTGTAGTGATGGGAGAAATCACCACAGGATTTCAAGCAAAGAAGGGCAGGCACTATTTGGACCTGAAATTTACTATGTTTTCAATAAGTGTTTCCACCAGGCCCATGTGTTAAAGGTTTAGATCCCAGTCCATGGTGCCACGAGGAGGTGGTAGAATGTTTAAGAGGTAGAGCCTAGAGGGAGGAAGTTATCAAGGGTGTACTCTTGAGGGGGATAATGACTACTTCTTATCTCTCTTTTTCAATCCCTGGCTGCTATGAGGTAACAGCTTCCTCCACTACACACTCCCACCATGTGGTACTGCTTTGCCACAGGCCTAAAAGCACCAGACCAGCCAATGATGAACTGAAATCTCTGAATCCATAAGCTAAAACAAAACTTTCCTCCTTACAAGTTTATTTATTTTGGGTATTTTGTCATAGTAACAGCTGACTAACACAAACTCTAAGATCTTTGGGGCAGAGGTACAGGTCCAATAAACCATTTCTCTGACTACTAGTGGTTGCAGCTTATGAAGGGTACAGGTTGTATTTCTGATCAGCAGGTGGAATCTTTGAAGGGACAGCTGGCTGAGGTTCAAGGACAAGGGCATTGCATGGTTCTCAGACTTTAGTCTGTTGGCTACAGAAGGCCCGAAAAGGCACATAGTAATGACTAAGGTGGTGCTTTGGTCTAAATGCTTATGTCTCCCCCTGCTCAAATTCATATGTTAGAACTCTAATTTCCAAGGTCATAGTATTAGGAAGTATGGCCTTTGGGGGTGATTAGGTCATAGGGCTAGAACTCTCATGAATGGGATTAATATCTCTATAAAAAGAGGCCCCAGAAATTTGCTTCATCCCTTCCATCGTGTAAGAACAGAGCTAGAATGTGCCACCTATGAATCAAGAAATAGGCCCTCATCAGAAAATGTGTCTGCTAGTGCTTTGAACTTGAACTTTTTAGCCTCCAGAACATGTGAATAAATTCCTGTTGTTTAAAGCTGCACATTCAATGGAATTATATTATAGAAGCCTAAACAGTTTAGGACAAGTAGTGATTGTTTTTGTTATCTCCTTGGGTTCTTGGAACATGCATCTCAATTTAGCATCCTTCCCCTAGCCTATGCCTATTGGGAATCTGAAATAAGAATCTGTTGGCTTTTCTGATGGGTACTACCCAAGAAAGCCCTGAATTTTCACACTGTTCATAATCATTTTAAAAAATAATTTGACAAAATTAATAGTAAATCAACCATCCAGATTTTAGACAGCTTCAAAGGATCAGCTTCTGAAAAAGATTATCTTTGATATTATTTCCTGACCATCTGGACATGGTTATGACATGGAACTTCTACTGCTTTTAAATATAGTCTCACTTACTGATATTTATCCTAATCTACATTTGGGCCAGAGTAAACTTTAATTTCTCTGCACCTTAAGTGTCATGATTTGTCCCAATGTTGTTCTACTTGAAGTCTTTGAGGAGGAGGACTACAGCCCTAGAGACCTTTCATCCAGAGACAACTAAATTAGCCACAATGAAAAGCTTATTGCGAAACTGAACTATGCACAAATCTTGGTCGAGAAAAATTGCAACACATAGGCTAAATCTGTGAGAACCATTCTTAAGTTTCTATCCTTGGAAGTCAATATTCACTTGGCCATTTATTAACTAAAAAATTTATTTATTCTTACTATGTTCTTACTATATTCTATTTTAAGCTTTGGGCAGGAGATAAATAAGTACAGTAGACAAAGATTTCTGCCCTTGTGGAGCTCACATATTTTAGTTGAAGAAAACAGACAACAAATATAATAAAGTAAATGGCCTTTTAATACTGGATGGTAAAAAGTGATCCTGGGGAAAAGATAATCATCGTAAAGGTGTGTGTGGGTAGGGAGTCCTGGTTGCTGGGGGAAGTGACCTGCAATAATAGTGGGGTAAATAGTAAATAGTGGGGTCAGCATAGACCTCTAAGAAGATGGGGGAGCTAACCATACAGACAGAAAGGGAGAAAATGTTCCAGGCAGAGAAAACAAATAAGATGAAGGATCAACCCAGCACCCTCTCTCTACCCTGACCTGTTCACAGAATAGCATGGAGGTCAGTGGGACTTGAGTAGTGAGAGGGACACAGGCAACATTATAGCTTTATTTTTTCTCTAGCTTCTTTCTGTTACCAGTGTCTTAAAAAGACATTTTAACTTTGATGAATAGAAAAAACAAACAAACAAAAAAACCCACTCTACTATTTAATCCCTGGCATATAACTATTTTAGTTATGTCTGTATTCACAGATGAACTGGGAGGTTAAAAGATCAAAACTGAAATTATCTCTGGAGCTTCTAAGACAATTTTATTTACAAGTGCTACAAGGCACTCACAAATATCCACATTCCCAGTTGTCAATGTAAAGAAGAAAGGCTAAGTTTTTATTCTTACAGATGTCTCCACATGTTCCTTGTCTGGACATTCCTTTGGAACCATTCTTGAGCTTGTTCTGAGGATGAGCGTGGGCAACAGCCCTCAGGCTGGTAGACATCCAGCCAGGCTACCTTGACCTTTTTCTGATTTATATTGGCACTAACAACTAGGTCAGGTGTGATTGTCAGTTCCTTGCAGATTCAAGTTAATCTTTTGCCCTGGGAGAACATGGAGGTCCTGAGGTATCTCCTTTTTGTCTAAGCTGCCTTAATCTTTCTCTTTGTAGCCATTTTACTCTGTGGCTTCTGCCCCAGTCTCTGGTTTATGGGGTGAAAGGGCCACTTTCTTCAGGTCTGACTTACTGATCCTGACCCTACAGTCACCTTTTCTACAACTCAGGTATCTGTTGTCTAGTTGAATTAAACAATTATTTTTTGTGCTGTTTGTCTGTAGTTAGGGTAATTTCTAGTTCAAATCATAAAGTTCAAGAATGTTAAAAACCAGGGCCTTATTGATATGACTACACTTATGAAGAATATTTGCAGCTTATTTAGCTCAATTTAGCTCTATTTTGCATAAGAGTCAACTTGTAATCCAGGCTCCAACTCACTGATTTTATCATTTTTGTAAGGGCATCCATTTCCTCATCTGTGCAATGAAGAGATTGAATTAGGTTATTTTAAGGTTGTCAATTCTATAATCTAGGCTTGGGAATACAGCAACAAAATAACATTTGCAGCTTTCAATCTACTCATTTCATACCTGTGTAAGAGAGAGGGAGAGGGTGTGCACACAAGACCAAGAGCAGGCACACACATCCTCCATGCATCAGCTCAATGGCTGTTAAAGTCACTTTAGGTTAGGGTTGAAAAGTCAGCTTCAACAACTTGAATTGTTTCAATGGTTCTTTTGTGTGCACTTTTTTTAAAAAATATTTTTAGTCATAGATGGACACAATATCTTTATTTTATTTATTTATTTTATGTGGTGCTGAGGATCAAACTCAGTGCCTCACCCATGCAAGGCAAGCCCTCTACCACTAAGCCACAACCCTAGCCTTCTGTGTGCACTTTGGTGAATGTGTCCAGGGGTTTTCTTCCTGGAAAGTACCTAACATTTATGGGTAAACATACATAGTGGTTCCATAAATGAGGTTAGAGAATTTAGAAAATGAAATTCCATTATAGTCTTATTTTCAATGAACCTTATCTCCACACTAGTTGTGTTGTGCTGATGGTACATTCATGGTAGATGCCACTGTCAGGAGAATAGTCTTTCTTGCCTCAGCAATACTAAGTGTCCACAACAGAACTGAGTATTGCAAATTCATATCATCTGTTGACCTACCACCTGGTCCTTCCTGTAGAACCACATTTACATCAGTTCTCCACTTACTGGCAGATGAGAAACAATGACAGCACTCTGAGTCTACGGCAGTTGTTAGATACTTCTGAAATTCTGACATTTTTTGGTACTATCTGGGGCTTTCCAAAATCATTACAGTAGATAATACCAAAGTGCCTTAGGCATACAATAAGAATCACACTGATGTTTTCCACTGGAAGATGAAATCTATTCTCTCCAGGCTATGGTTCATTAGGGTCCATCATCTGGAGAACTGTGTTCTACCAGACAATAGCTGCTTCAAAACAATGGCTCAATTAAAATAGAGCTAACCTCTCAACTGATATTTTATAACTTTCCTAAATACAATTAAATTAAAACATACAGTGTTTAATTCAATGGTTCAGTTAACTTATATTTGCTCGTGCTTAAAACAGAATTTGAGGTCTAACCAGCTGAGAACCTAAGCAGAGCAATGCTCTCCAATTTCCCATTATTCAGCCTTCAATGATTGCTCATGGCTCATTGAAAAGAGGTTTTTTTAAAAATAAATGAATAAATATAAATTGATTAAAACATGGAGGATTAGGATCACTTTATAATTAAGTTTCCTAATTCATATCTGATAGAAATGTCAATAGTAACACAATGCCCTTGATTATAGCAAGGCTCCTTTAAAAACCAAAGTCTTGTTTTTCAGACAAAGTTTGCATTATAAAGAAGATTTTTGCATATACTTCCACTGGTCCTAGAAAGTGTTTTTATTACTGTGAGGTTCCATTATGCCCATAGCAGAAGACTGATTTTCATTACAGTCATATCTGCATAAATATGAAAAAAAGCAGGAATAATTGATTTGGTCTTTTACATTTCTGTTTCAGAAAACTTTAGATACAATGAAATACCTTTCATATAACCATCCAGTCATTTTATATGTGTTACTCACAACCTTCTACCCTGACACATTGAGTAGGCACTGAATGTGGTCCA